CCTTCTGCAGTGGTCAGGCACTAAAGTCCACATCAGGGGCGTTTCTAGGATTTGATCTTCAGGGGGGCTTAGCCCTCAGTGAGAAAGAATGTGTGGCAAGAGACCATGCCTAAGTGGGTACCTCTTTCTAAATTGGCACAGGCTATATTACTCAGTAAAAAGCACCCTACCAAAACATAAATTGGTACCAAGTCAATACAAAAACTTTATAAATGATACAGTTGTTCTGCTGTTCCGTTCAAATCAGTACACACGTTTAGACTGTTTGACAAACATACAATTGGCATCATATTATTTTCATTAATAAGTATCACTGTAAAGTATAGCTAAAAAAACACTAAAGATTTTTTCTTCTGGCCTGGTCGGATCACAGCAAAACAATAATACAGCCTAACTAAGGAAAACAGAAGGTAAATGAGGCTGTTTTCATTTTAATACATAATTGCAAGGATCAATTATATTGACACACATCCGATATTTTCTTAATTGTTTTCGACACCGACTGTGGGTACTTGTCAAGACGGGCATTTTGGCATAATTTTTTGTGTACGCGCATGCTGTCTGTCACATCTATCACAGTGCCTATGAAGTTACTTTCACGGCATCTTGTGATTGAATGGTTTAAAATCCTTTGAATGTTTAAACTAAGAAGACTTAAAAACACATGAAAACCCAATCTTTCAAATGGGTTATAGTTATTGGGGGCTGAGACGGCAGATGACAACAGGCTTAGACTAAAAACAGTCTAGAACCAACCTTGGTTCACACCCATGTGATGTTGTTGAACATATTTTCCCCCTTTCACTTACATGTTATTTATTTTTGTGCCATAAATAAAACCTAAGAGGGAAAAATAACATGCACAATCACAATGCAAGGGTTAAATCATAGCTCTAAAATCCATTGTGTCATTGTTGCTTTTCTGTTGGGCTGACGGGCGGGAAAGATGTATTAGAGCATATGCAAGAACAACAGGTAAAGTGTAGAAGGCAAAAGAAATTGGCAACATAATATATCATATAACATTTCTTTTCCCTTCTACACTAAACATATTCCCTGCCCGGCCGCCCAACCGAAAATCAACAATTATATATATATATATATATATATGAGAAGAATGAAGAATTGAACCATGAACATTAATAATTCCCAACATGGCAAAGAGTTAAACATTTTTAAGTGCAATCTGTGAAATTGCTGTTGTGTTTTGCCTTGTCATGCTTTTCACAGACTCAGTGGGTTTTTGGTTGGTTTGGCATATTTACAGACAGAATTTATCTGTAGTTTCCTTTGGCAGTTGGATGTTTGCTAAAAGCCCAGTAAGTACGGTGAGCTCTCTGGAAAAGAAAGCGATCCAAATTCATTCAGTCCGGATAAAGCTCTACTATATCCTTTGACTGCTCACTCTTCTGAAATGGATGTTGACAAAATCTTTAAAGTATTTTAAAGCTATAGTGGTCAGGGAGCTGTCAATGCACTTTTTTTTTTTTCTTTTACAAAGATTCACTTTTATATGCTTTTGTTTCTTTTGATCCTTATGTCCAGGGGGTGTCATCGTCAAAACAAAAGCTCTTGAATACCAATTTGTGATCGATTCTGATTTGACTGTCTGGCTCAAATACATTTTTCATACTATGCTATTCTTAAACATTTACAGAATGTTTTATGCTTGAACATTCAGAATATTGAAAATGGCATGAACATACTATAAAATAGACCCTCTAATTTCCAAATAACTTTTAAAAAGAATTAAACCAGTATGAATATCAACCAGATTTACTGTACTTCTCTCAGTAAAAAAAAGCTATAGCATCTGAGGCGTTAACTGAACCTTTAACATGTTAACATTCCTTCTAACATTCACTCTTCACTATCATTAACAACATGGACACAAACCTCAAAGTGCAATGTGGTCTATCATATGACCTACCCACACTGTGTTTATACTCCAGCGCACAAACATACACAGACAAGCTGGCTACACATCCTGTTGCTGTCATCATCTCTGTAGCAAATCATGTGGTTTGTGATCCAGAAGACTCCTGGAAGCACGCAACAACTGAGAATATGAATATTGTGCCTTAGTGCCTTAAAATGTGGACCATAACAACAGACGTTCATTATATGGTTCAAAATATCTTCGTTTATCTTCAACACAAGAAAGAAAGACATTCAGGTTTGGAATAACACGAGGGTGAATAAAGGTTGACAAAATTTATTTTTGGGGGGTAAATAATCCCTTTAAGACTCTCTCTAGACACCTTCTGTGTAAAATACAGTGTTTTTCTTCAAAACGTTGGTCAAACTGTTAGTTTCAGACTGAAATGATTGGAGGGTGTTTCTCAATCAGCGCCCTAGCTCTCAAGCTTGTGAATCAGAATATTGTGTACATGAATAAGGGCACTAAGGACCCTGGCTCACTACACATTGGGACTGTGAATACTCAATTTTCCAATTTGACAATACGTGCAACACGTGTAGAATGTCACTGATGTTATCAACAACAGTCAGGACTTATATCTTTCTGAAAGTATTTGTTATGCTTTAACACATTGTTCTGTTATATACTGTGCTGCAGGTATGATGTCACTTTGCAGGCCAAAAGGTGGAAATGAGTTGAATTTTGGTTAAATGTCTTAAGTCTGAGGAGAACACAAGCTCAAGACACTTTCACATTTTATTCAACAACATAAAATACATCAGTATTATCCCACTCGTGATAATGTATGATATATGTGAAAAAGGCAGTTGCTAACTAGTGTCATGGGACCAGAGGGATATTAAAGGTCATCACAATGAACAGGTAAGCTTAGTCCTCTTTTACAGTCTCATCATGTTTATAATCATGCTCTTATAAACTATTATAATTCAAACTTTCTGGGGAAATATTTTTAGATAAAAACTGAAAGAGTTGTGGGAAGCTTAGTGGTGGTGACATGAGATTGAAGTCTGGAGGCCATGGAGTAGTTTGTTTAAAAGCCTATCTTTAGCTTTTTACTGCTGGCAACTGCATTTACATTTTTATTCATTTAGCTGACACTTTTATCCAAAGCGACTTACATGTTATATATGTCAGAGGTCGCACGCCTCTGGTTAAGTGTCTTTCTCAGGGACGCATTGGTGTCTCAATGGATTCGAACCCGGGTCTCTCACACCAAAGGCATGTGTCTCATCCACTGCCCCATCACCACCACCAGCATTTAGGCTTCAAAATTCAATAAAGTTGTGTTCATCTTGAAAATGATCTTGATGGACAAAACGTGTAAGTATCATTAACTTTTGATGATGACAGAGCTTGTTTTTTGCGATTATCCAAAAGCCTATGGAAAAATCCTATTGGGTTTTGTTGTTGTTGTTGAGGTGGCCAGTATGATGCTCAAAGTTACGTCACACCGGCACCACTCTATTTTTAATATATTTAAGCTGAATATTAATTATAAATGTTAACTATAGATCTTTTCACTGCCTGACTAGCGACTAGTGTTTATGTAGACAAAAACGGTTTGTCTTTTGCTTCACTAATGTGACGTAATGTCCTGTAATGGAGCATCGAGAATCGATGCTGCCTGTTTTTTTCAGAATGTTCTAGTGCACTGAAATGATTTTGTGATTGAGACAGCCCTTAAACCCATACAAACCTTGGAGAAATATTTGACTATTTTTTTTTTTTTTTTCAAATTAGTGCTGTTGTTAGAGGTACCTTTTTCAATTTTAAGATCTATTGCGTTGAAGTATCGTCTTTCAAGTAAATAATTAGAATTTGTAATTCATGCACTTGTAACATCATAATTAGATTATTGCAACTCTCTTTATTCTGGTCTCCCTCGATCTTCATTATCACGATTGCAAGTTGTTCAAAATGCAGCCGCAAGACTTTTGCCTGGGTCTTAAAAGACCACATCTCCACTATTTTAGCATCCCTTCACTTTCTTCTCATTAAATTCAGAGTTAATTTTAAAATGTTCTTAAGGCGTTGTCTGGCCGTGCACCAAGGTACATAATTGATCTTCTAGTTCCACACTGTCCAGCTAGGGCACTTACATCTTGTAATCACCTGCTCTTAAGACACGGTGTCACAACAAATCAAAGGGTGATTGGGCATTTCTGTGGCTGGGCCCAAGCTTTGGAATGGTGTCCTGTATCATGTGAGATCTGCTCCTTCACTGGACATTTTTAAATCCACTCTTAAATCACACTTTTATTTACAAAATTAATTAATTTACATGATCCTTCTTTAGTTGTGTCTATGCTGAAATTGGTATTATTTAGAATTTTGTGGAACCCAGATGCTTAAATAAACAGTTATATATTGAGATGGACCCAGAAACATTAGCCGAACCCGAATTGTTCTCATTGCATGCCTTTCCGGATATGGT